GGGGGGAGGGGGGAGAGGGTGCGGCGGGGTTCAGCCCTGCGTGTAGGTCACGGCACTGAGCCTCCGGCCCGCCGGCCCGCCTGCCTACACCCCTTCCTTGTACGGCGTAAGACGATAAATTACAACGCCAGCTGGCGCGACCTGGCGCGCTCACGCTGCAGGCCCCGCGTGCAGGGCATGCGCACCGCGCGGCTCAGGTGGACGCGCGCACACGCTCCCTCACAGGCGGGGAGAGAGAGAATGGAAGGCGGAAGAAACGGGCAGAAAAAAAGGGGCTCTCCAGCGAATATACAGTAAATAACCCTAACCCACCACGCCTCCTCCTCCTGGCGGGGCCTTCCTGACCGCGCGGCCGATCACCCGCCAGCAGCAGATTCACCCTGACGAGGAGGGTGTGGGGGGTGGTGGGTGGTGTGACGGCCGACAGGCTGGTTAGCTCCCTGACCCGCCATACATCGCCACACCACACCACCTACTCTGCACACGATACACACAGCCAAAGTTCATCGCGCATAGCAGGTCCAGTTTGGGAAGGGGGGAGGGGCGTGAACAACACCCCCGCCGCACACTTTGCGATGTATACAGTGGTAAGTGTACCTACACAGCCCCTCGCGAGCCCTTACCGCCCTTACTTCACCTGCCCCGCTCCCCCCAAAACCCCTCTTGCTCGCCACATTACCATACCATTCTCTTGGAGCCGGGCTGCTGGGCTGGGCTCAGCTCGGGCCCCACCCAGCTACCGCAGGTCCCGCGCGCCCGCCGCCGCCGCCCGCCTCGCTAAAATGAAATTATACCCCCTTCCCCCTTTTTTTTCTCGCTCCGAACAAAATTTTGGCATTGCGTTTATAAAGAGAGTCCGGGATAAGGGGACTGGCACTTTCTTTCATGCGCGCTGCGCTTCGCTTGTGTTTTTGCCCTTTTCCTCAAGGGGAGACGGAAAAGTGGGAGGGAATGCCTGCCGCGGCGGCGCCTCGTTCTGAACGACGGCACTTACATCCACCCTCCTGCTCTTTTCTCGGCAGAGAGAAAGAGAGAGAGAAAGCGACGACGTGAGAAAAGAGAGGGGGTGGGGGCAAAAGAGAACGAGGGATGCGGAAATCCCCCGTTACGTCTCGGCGAGCTAATTTTACCCCCGTATCGCGTGCGGTGGTGTAATGCGCTCAATATTGCACAATATCGCGGCGCGGCTGCAGCCCGGCTAGGCTGGGCGCGGAGCGGGGCTCTCCGCACTAACAGCCGCACCACCGCCGCGACGGGGGAAAAGCCTCCCTCCTCAAGCGCACTGCGGCATCACCATTTTCTCGCGCGTAAGTAGGCAACCCATTCTCCAGCAGCACGGGGCGGGAAGAAGAGAGGATGGTGGAGGATGGAAAGGGAAGGGGCGCGCGCTAAAAGTGGCTGCTTGGTTTCCAAGCAAAAGTGGTAATTTTTAAATAATTGGTAAAAAGTGCCGGGAAATTTCTCCATTTGCTTGTAATGCAAGCAGTGTCGCTTTGAGCGTGCGCTCGGTGGCGGCGGCGCGGTGCGGGTTGATTACGCGCAAGTGCGCCACGGGGACGGCCCCGGCGCCCCTGAAGTGCGTCCCGCGTCCCGCGCTGCTCCGCGAGCAAAGCAACCGTAACGTACAGTAAACCAACGGCTGCCCCCGGCCCGGCCCGCCCGGCCCGTGAGGGGGTGGTGGGTGGGTGGGAACCAACATGAACATGACGTGCGCCATATCATAACCTCACTAGAGTCGCCTCCCGCTCCACCTTCCAGCCCCCGTCCCTTGATATGGTTGTCTTGAGGAAGAACAAACAACTCCCGGAAGTTTCATTACACATGCGAGGGTTTGTCGGCGGTCGGCGACTTGGTAACAAATTTCTAAGTGGGCTCTATGCGAGGGGGCCACCAGCTTCAATTTAGGATGTACACAGGATTACGTGATTACAGGGATTATACGTGAATTTTTAGGGATTACCCGTGATATGTGTTAAAATTCTGGCCCTAAAACCATTAATTTTGGACAATAAGGTCAAATTAAGTGACAATGGTTTAGAATTTGGTCAAGTATTACACGGAATACATAAGGATTACATACGGATTGCACCCTCATCTGTACACAGGATTACGCGAGTGGTGGCCCCCTCGGCTCTATGGCCCTCAAAATAAACGGGCGATCAGAGATTCAAACAGTCGCAATATGGTACTTCTTTCTTTCAGCGTCGTGCAGTCCGGGAAAATAGGGTAAGGGGGGAGGGGGTGGAAACGTTCTGAGAACGTGTTTCAAGTGAGCTCACCTGAGCTCATCATTCGCATCCCTGGTAGAGGCAGCCTAATCAAAGTACAGTAGCTACAAGGAGACAAAATATCCAGAAAATAATAATAATTGAAATCGACTCAGGTATAAACACGTAGGCTACACACTGCAAGTTCCCCTGAATATTTGCTGCGGAGTACAGAGAAACTTTCCTTTGGTTCGCGTGCGCCCGTCGGCGCAATGCTCCGCCAGACTGGGCAAACTTGACTAAAATATTGGCCTACTAAACAAAAATATCTTACCTTCTGAACCAAGTACTTGTCAATATCCATAATGTAGGGCACACACATGTGTGATCTTGGCTGGTGCAAGCTCTGCAAGCTGCTAGAACGGTTTGCACACGGCTCAAACTAAGAACCTAACCTAACAAACATGAGGCGACTGCCAACATGTTTATGATACGTGCGACACTGAAATGAAATTGGGTCGCCTGTTTAACTGTCAAAGGAACTCATTTTTAGCACCAATAAGGTTCTTATGTGCATTTAAAAACTCCATAAAAATTAAAATATATTTTGAACCCTGCTTTCACAAGCGCAACTTATCACCAATATTTTTCCATTTAGATGTCAAAACTTTCTTCTATGAAGAATCTACATCAAGTTTGCAGTGAGACTTTGCAAAGCTTACCTCTGAGGCCGCAGAGCGCTTGTTGACCACCGCAGCTATACTGCGACCGCGAGGCAGACTCCGTGTCAACGGGAGCGGCTGCTACGGCTACTCCTGCTGCAGCTGACGCAGCTGCCGATGCTCAACAGATGCGCCGCTACAACACTGTATCCTATGGTTGCGGTGGGCGGGCGCAGCTGCGCTCAGCTCAGAGCCGGGAGCAGGTGCAGCAGGTGCGCGAGGGGGGGCGGCGGCGACGCCGGGGAGGCGCGGGACCGCGGGCGGCGGACAGCAGCGTCCGGGAGGCCGGCCGGCCGCGGCGGCCGCGGCGACATCTCGATCGCCCACTAGCACCACACCACCTGCCAGCCACGAGCACTGGACAACACTACGGCACACACGAGCACTGGCGACTGCACTGGCACACTGCACTTGGTAATCACTGACACACTGACGACTGCACACACTCGCACACACACACACTACTGACCGCACGGTGCGGGCGCGATCACGGCGTGAGACCACCTCCGGTGGCCCGGTCCGGTCGCGCGGTCGCGGGCGGGGGAGGCTTCGCGCTGCTCCCGCGCTGCTCCCGCGGTGCTCCGCGCTCTCCGCGAGAGCTGTGCCGGTGCAGAGCGCTTGCGCCGCTTGCGCTGGTCGCGCTGCCGTGGCGCGGGGCGGGCCGAACACAGACTGAGCCGGGCCGGGCCGGGGGCCGGGCTGGGCCGCGCGGAGCAGAAGGGATCCCGGTTAGACCAGCCAGCCTGGCGCAGGGCGCGCGCAGGGCCGCAGGGGGGTGGCGGGACGGGAGGGGACGCGGCGCCACGCGCGCTCCAGCAGCAGCAGGTTGGGTCTGCTCTCCACCAGTCTCCAGTGGGCCCCTTCTTTGTTTCCAGGCGAGTGCTCGCGAGTAAGGGACGGGGAATCACTCCCCGGCTCTTGTTCAAACGTAGAGGGAAGCCGTGTCTCCATAACCGCCGCGGGTTGCCGGAGGTAAACTTCCGCTCCATGTCGACCCCCGTGTGACCCCCGAGCTTCAGGCGCCCTTGTCCCGGTCTGGTCGGGACCCTGAAAACGTTTCAGTAACTTGGAGTTCCGCGCACCCCCGGGGACGGAGAGGCAGAGGAGTTGGGGGGAAGGGGGGGAGGGGAACACGTTCTTCGCTTTCCCGGTTCCACACAACGTGTCCGCCGGCGGGAAGCTGCCGCCCAGGGCGGACCGGGCTAGTCTGAGCTGAGAGATTGTGGACCGCCTTGTGGGAGGCTGCAGGGAAGGCCGCCCGCCCCCACCGAGGCTGTGCGGCGGCGGAGGCGTGTCGGCGCCGCCGTGTGCGCGCGCGCGCGCCAAAGTTTGGCAGGAACCTGGCGGACTATGGACAGGAGGGGGTGTATAGGATAGGGGCGCAGGTGTCAAGTGTTTGGAACTTGCAGGCAGAGGGCCCCCCTGCTCAGCTCGCTCAGACCCTCGAGTTGGGCTAGCCTCGGCCAGCCTACTTAGGCACGGAATAAAAAGTTGGAGCGGGGGTATTAGAGTGCACTGTGAAGCACCCCGGGCCGGGGTGGCTCAGCCCCTGTGTTGTGAAGCGCGGCGGCGTGCGGCCGCAGAGCCGTGGCTGGGTCCTGCTGCCGCTGCGGCCCCGGCTTGAATTATTGTCGACGCCCAACAGGAAAGGGAACTGCCGGACGGGAGGAGGAGAGGCGGGTTGCAGCTGGGCGGGGCGGGCGCGAGGCGTTCCAGTGTTTGAGGGCCAGGCAGGACAGGCCGGGGGCGTGGTAGGTCCAGGGCTGGTGTGGTGGGGCAACAATACGCAGTGCACCACGCGGCCTCCGCACCACCTCCATTCCGTCTAGTTGGCCCTTTGCCGCTGGAGCCGGACTAGGAGTGTCGCCTTCCTGCCCCACCCCGTCGCGCTGCGGTCTCCTCCACACGACCGGGGGCAGCGCGGCAAGTTAAGACCGCCCCGCCCCGCCCCGCCCCGCCCGCAGTGGCATTGTACCAGCGCCACACCGCCGCAACGGCAGAGACGACCACGACAACGAAGCGACCGCCCCTCCGCCTCCGTGTGGAATACAAAGCGTGGGCCACGAGGACGGTCCGCCAGAGACGACGACGCCAGACGAGACGAGTTACGTCTGCTTCGATGCCATGGCCATGGCAGTCCTGACAGCAAGAAAAGAGGGGGGGGGGATCTGGAATTGGCGAAATGTCAGAGTAGAAGTGGACAGGGCAGCGACGACAGATAACGCTGTCAAAGATGCTAGGCGGGTCGTCCCGAGGAGCTGCTCGCTTTTGTTGCGAGGGATGCGCCCGTGGAATCTCCCGTTTAGCTGTGCCATGGTCGAAAAGGATGACAAGGGCGTCCGAGGAACAGGCAGGCTTCCACGCCAACTTTATCCAGACGACGGCTGTTGATAAAATTAACAAACTTTGGGACTACGCCCTAATGTTATTCTTCCACACTGCTTAATTGATGTTCAATAAAATAATAAAATAAAAATAATTGTAATATAAATACAGTCAATCACATAATACATTTATTGAGAGAAAAAATGGCCTGTACAGAATATCATATATAATGGTGTTAAGATTTCCAATCATGTTTTCTATAAATTTTTTAAAATGTTCCCAAGCAAAACAAAATTTGTTACAACTTCCTGATCACATCAAGTCTTCTGAAGAAGATAAATAGGAAAGTACCTCATTTTAATTTTGTGGTACTTCATTAAAAGATTATTCAATACAGCTCATTGACTAGGCTTGGCAAAGAATCAAATGCACAAACAGACCCATAGTTATGTGATAAAAAAATATACAACTTCATGTTTACAATCAGTTCGGAGAGTTCCAAAAGATATCATTCTAACAGGTAGAAAATATCAAAGTACGATTAATGTAAACCAGCTTTTTGAAAAGTTAAGCAATACTTCCCAAAATTCACACTAATTTCTTGAAATTTTCACTTGGGTGAAGAAGGCACTTAATTTTTTTCAGCCAAGGTAGTTCAGAAAGTCTGAATCAGAACTTGCAATGCTGACTGCTTCTATATCATTGCTGTCATCTGATGAAGAAGAAGATGAATCGTCTTCAGCATCTCCCTGATCATCATCTTCATCGTCATCATCCCCTCCCTCTCCATCGTCATCCCCCTCATTTTGGTCGTCAACATCTAGTTCATCAATAAGATTCATGAGACCATTTGCATTTAAATTATCCTCCGATGATGCATCATCATCATCCATATCATCGTCATCATCATCATCCTCTTCTTCATCCTCCTGTAAATAAGAGAACATAATTGAAAGCAAGGCTTAAGACAGGTTCACCCCGTGTCTGGCGGGGAAACAGAGTAAAATAAAAATGTAAGAAAAAACTTGCCGCTTCGTCGTCATCAGCTCTGCGACGTCCTACATCATAAACCCGCACACTCGACTCTTGAACATTGTCAAACATCCCTACATTTTCAACAATACATATTTGGGTGTCATACTTATTGCAAGCAATGTAATGAATATTTTTTTTAACATCTATAGTGGCAATTGGGGAATAATCATGGGCATCAAGAGTGCGGAATGATGACTCAAAAGCATCCTTTGAGTCATCATTTTCTGTTTCTACTAAAAATGTATAAATAACACCTCCATCTGGAGAGAAGACTATTTCACACTGGTCTAAAGTTGGGACTGTTCTTAATAAATGGAATGTTCTGAGGTCCCAAACCTCTGTGTTTGAGACAATTTCTAAGCCATTTGGATGGAATAAACCACTAAAATTCTGGTTCAGCTTGTCTAGTTTATGGATTTCTTTTCCTGAGTTGACATCCCATACAACACCATCAGATAGAACTAATTCATTTGTAGGACTAAAAGTGGCCTTGTTTTTATTGTACTGGTTTGACACTGTGGGCTTGAGTGTCAATATCTTTTTTCCAGTCTCCAAATCATATACCTAGTTAGAAAAAAGAACAGTCAGGGAGGAATAGAATGTTACTTAGATGTAATAGATACATTATTCTCTGCACAGATTTATAATTTTGAAACCATTCTCTCACCGTAGCAGTCTGGTCATTACTGTTGGTTGCTATTAATTTATCTTGTTCATGCTTACTAAATTCAACATACTCTTCTTGAGATAGATTATACCTAAGAAAAAAAGCGTTAGATCCAACAAGTAAAAGCTTTACTATTTTGATTTTAAGTGAAATACAAATGCCTACTTAGATTCAAATGTTGTGTTGTTAATGGACCACAAGGCTGACAATGGTTGTCGCCAGGTGCAAGAACTTAATAAAAGTTTTCCATTCTTATGGGCTTGCAGATGATGGATATAGGAATCATGGCACTGGACAGATACCTCTTCTTGCTATGGTGAACAAAGGATTAAAAAAATCAATAACAGCAGGTGTAGCTACCCAATTAAAGGCATATTATAGGCAAAATAGATAAATAAGACTCACCACAGCTGATTGTAAATTATACAATTTAACTTCACCTTGATATGTTCCCACAACAAGTTGTTGCCCATTTGGCTAAAAAAAAATTAAAAAAATATTTAGAAAAAGTTGGAATGTTAGGTAGACACTGTGAACCCGTATGGGTAGGAAGCATGATAATATACTTACTAGAAATTCACAGCAGGTGTAGAAGCTATCCTCTTCAGCTGGACGGAAAGTTCGGACAGGGCAAAATCTACTATGAACAAGACGTCTATCAAGACGAATACCCTCTGGGCCATCAAAAGATGGGTACACAGAACGGCGCACATGTCTTAGTGTGAAATTAAGTGGTGCATTTCTCTTAGCTTTTGGATCCGGACACTTGTGTGGTCTAGATAGAGGATACACACATAATCAGATCAGTGAGAGAACACAGGTAAAGCAAGATGTTGATTAATGATTGATTACACATAAATTGTACTTACTCAAACAAGTTGAACTGAGGACAGGTAATCATGGGATTTTTGCAAAGGGCATGCTGATTTGTGAGATATTCAGTGATAATAGAATCCAACGACACCTGATTTTCAGCAGTTGGAATTAAACTAGTTGCAGTGATGGCAGCTGCTGGTTTTTGCATGGGTGAAGCAATTAGAGATGGGGATTCATATGTTATTTGCTTCTGTAATGACTTGCCAGCAGGGCTGTTTGAATATAATGATTCTTTCCTATGAAGAAATATTACAACATGAAATACATTTATGCTTCTCTTAACATTTTTAAATGTGTACAGAAGTGAGAAAATATTCAAAGTGAATGCTTACCTGTGACTTGCCAAACTTAATTTGATTGGGGTTGGAGTCAACCCTTCACTAATAGCTGACTGAGAGGAAACATTAGCCAGAGAATTTGGGCTGTTTAAAGAAGCTCCACTGCCTAATATATTAGAAGCAGATCCCCGAGTAAGTCCACTGCTTCCTACACTTGATGGACTGGAGCAAGGAGAGGAGAGGGATGCAAGGTGGGGAGAAGACAAAGGAAGACGATGCAGGTGATGATGGCTTGTCAACGGAGAATTGTTCATCCGTGGCTACAAAAAAAAAAACATAAAATATCTTGTGGTAAATAATATGATTAACATCAAATTAAAAACACAATAATTAGACATCAATCTGGGAAAAAGGATTTTAAAAGAATAAATACCCTAATTACGCTAGGTACAGAAGTGCGTTGATAAGAATATGCTAATGGAAGGGGCAGGCTAGGTTTCGGAGCAGGTAGCCCAGCCTCTTTCAGAAGTGCAGCTGCACTTTCTGTCATTCCTCTTGATAAAAGATGTTGGTGTATTAACTGGTAAAGCTGCTTGTCATTGAAATGGATGCGTGTCTGAGCAATGACGTTTGCCTAAAATGTTAAAGAAATAACAAAACATAACAATCAATTTTTCACTCAATGGAAGTAATACAGAAATTTATTTGGTACACGGAGAGTCATACCCTGTGAATGTTGGCTAGAGATATTTCAAACTCATTCCCTGATGGCTTAGTTTTACCAGAAACACGCTCTAATAATTCAAGAGCATATTTCTGGAAGCTAACATGCTCTTGGCGTTTGTCTTGAAGGATAGGATTTTGCATCAAATCTGTCACAGATAAAAATAGATAGACATGGTTAATAAGATAGAAAAAATAAATGACATACATCTGACCACTTTATTCAACAATAACTCACTTTGAAGTTGACCACTAGTAAACAAAGGGAGTTTGCCAATTATCTGTTTCACAGTTTCACTTCGTGCCAAACCAGCAAGAGCTCGGCAGGATAGTGCTCTGATGGAATCAGCATCAGTTATAGGTGTCTTAACAGTCATCAAAGTAAGTAATATCTGCAACAAAATAGTAAGCCAAACGGCAAATTTTACAATGTATAGGAAACCAACTCCTCTTGCCTTTACAGAACAGTAGTAGAAGTGACAAACCATTATTCCATTATTAGATCGCACACTGTCCCACATTTTCAGAATAACATCCTCGCTCAGCCGGAAATTTGCTTTCTTTCGTGCATACCCAGACCCAGAAAAGCGAGCAATTGTGCCTCCAACCTAGAAAAAAATTTAAAATGAACACAACTAAAAAGTAGTAATATCAGTTGACTTAAATCAGGAACAGCTGAATTTGAGCCTCAGGCTACTAATACATACCCTATGAATTGGAGCACAAACACAATTAATAAGAACTGACAGAGCAGATCTCTGAACATCAGGGTCTGCCACTATTTCCCCCTCTGCAGCACCCAAAATAATGGTCATTGCCACAGTTAGGCCTTCATCAGGCATAGAAACTTGTTCACAAAAAAGAAGTTGCACTTGTGGCATAACTGAACAGATGGCTAACACATCAAGGGCACTACGGACAGTTTCAGCACTGCAAGCAGAATGTTGAGACATATGTTAGGGTGCCAATGGAGTAATGGAAAGAGTCGGTTACAATTGGTCTCCTAAAATTAATACGGTAGTAATTTACACCTCATTCCAAAAATTATTGAAATCAGAGAAAAGAACAATCGAAAATTACATAATAAATATTGATTGATTGGATTGGACTATAAAATAGAACAGATTGACAGAATAATGGAATAAAGACTTGCAATGACATGTGAAGAAAGCACTCCATTGAGCAGCTTACTTACTGGCCTTCCTAACAAGACACCATACTAAAATTAACTTTTTTCTTTAAAAAAATAATGGGGGGGGGGGGATAAGTATACTAATAAGAGCAGTAATTCAGATTGTTCTTTGTTCCGGTTAATATTAAAGATTGGATTAAAAATTTAAAAAAAAGGGTAGCAGACATTGCAGGCATTGTGTATTATACAAATAATACTTGTAGAAAATTAGACTCATTCCTAAAACTTCGGTTTTTTAGTTTTTTTAGATAAATTCATAGGGACATGTTCTTCAAATTTGCTATTCAGAGTCTCAATTTAATTTCAAAAGAGTATAAAGACAAGTAGCTGATATTTCCATTACCCAGGTAGTGAGACTGGAATCACACATCCGTAAACCAAACTGTACAAATAATGAAAGAAAGAAAGGAGAGAAGAGGGACCCTATCCAAACACTCAATGCCATGCTATAGAAGGATGGACATGACTCACTCCCGTACTGACCGGCCCGAGTAGTTCCATTCGTAGGCGAAAGCGATCACCTGCAGGAGCAGGGTCACCCCACCTAAACGAAGCAATCCATCTACAGGGGCCCAATTAGCTCTAAAGGACATCAGTTGGAGAAGAGTTTCAATTTGTTCCTGAATCTCCTCAGGGGTACACTTTGACGCCTGAAAATTATGAGAGAACAGATTAGACATTCAAACCAAGTCTGAATTGTGTAAAATTTTATGTCCTTTAGGAGGGTACTTGCTTTATATGAGGGCACATGCTGCAGGTGCCGGTGGTCTTCACTCTCTCGCATGTGAGCTCTTCGTACTTGCTCTGCACGGATACACAAATGAGCTTCAAAGTACCTTTTTAGAGCCACGCACACATGGCGTACTATTTGACGCGCAGAACATTCTTCATCCTCATTCAAGGCATGCTCTTCCTCAGTGGTCATGATTGGGAGTGTGCTTACCTTCGAATTGCAAGAGTGAGACAAATTAAGGGATTAAATCTTCACATAGATAGATATGTATTCTTATCAGAGACTAAATAATAAAACTATTCAAAAATTTAATTATAGAAATGGATTAATATTTGTTTTGATTAACATACCACATTGTACAGTTTACGTAAGCCATCCTGACTGTCGAATTCTTCCAGGATTACCCTGAACTGAAATGAGAGTCCAAAGAACATGGTGGCATGGCAACGACCAGAATCATGAGAGCGTTCTAAAAGCCACAATGCATACCTAGAACAGTGAAACCAATGACAGAACATTAAAGTGTTTACAATGATAGATGATGATAATATAGTATGTTAGTATGTAATAATATTATAATGCAGTAAAGCCATGAGAAATAACGTACGTGACTAGGTCTGATATGGTATGTTGGGGCAGGAGACAAACCCTTTCAATAGCATCTTCACAGTAGGCTAGGTAATAGAGGCAAATAGATACTCCTGTTGCTGATATACTTGGTCTAGGAACTTCAAGCAGCCTCTGAGGGTGTTTAACAAAACAAATGCATTAAAACCACTATTAAACAGTTTACTTACAAAATACTTAGTCAACTGGAACTAGAGTTGAGGAGGTACCTGAAGACCTTGAACATTTATGAATTCTATAGAGAACTTTTTGTGACACAAGAGAGATGCTAAGTATTTCAAAGCTTCAAAAGCAAGTCTTGCATCTTTAGATTCTTTGATATTTAAGTATTTTAAGATAAGTTCTAAGGCGTTGTGTTCAAAAACATGGCTAAGAAACTGCAATAAAAGGAGATATGACATTAGACAACCTAGTTTATTCCCACAACAGAATTATATTGGCAAAAGTTACCTCTTGGTACTCTCCCATTGGTGTCAGATAACGTAATATAAACATTTGTTGGGTTGCTATTGTGAGTGGATACATTTGAATGGATCCAATGACATTGTTTTCCATCTCAGCCCATGAAGAGTTGCTGCATTCACTTAAATTGCTAGAAGTCTACAAAGAGATGTTTTTGTTTGATTTTACATTTATATAGAAAGACAAAATATTAGTTCAAATACATCAAACTTGGCAGAACTTACATGATATGGGCTACGTAAGACTGAATGTTGCGGAATTGCATGAGGTGGAGACATCATGGGACTTCGAGACCAAGGTGGCTCCCGCCCAGGTGTGGTAGGTGGCAGAAGGCCAACTCCCTCCGGTAAGTCCTCTTCAGCTATGTTGGACTTGACCTTTGGTGTGGTTTTGCCTACCTCACTCTGTTCTTTGACTTGAGACGAGCGTCCTTGGTTTTCTGAAACACCCTTTTCTGTCTTTTCACCATTGACAAGAGGAGTAGTTGCCCCTCCTTTCCAGTGAGGTGGACTCATTAATCCATTTTCTTTACTTGATCCAAGCGGGGCTACAACATTGAAGATTTTTATATCAATCAAGTACTGTAATAGGAAGTTTGGAACATGATGAAACAAGGATCCTTAAAATCTACAGTACATACAGGCATCTGTTTTTTTCTTTTTAATTGCAGGTGAAACTAAAGAATCTGATTTGAGCTCAGATTTTGATCCGAGGTGGGCAAAAGGTCGACTGGAATTCATAGCTGCCAGTCTTTCCTCACTTGCTTGAGCTTGGAGCATATGCAAACGTTTTAGCATTAAAGGGACCATTTGAGAATTTTTTTCCCTAGAAGAAGAAAAACGCAAGACCAGAGTCAAGTTATATTTTCAATAAACTGGCACCTAACAACCATATTATTCATACCGAAACACAACTGCAATATCCTGTACTTCCATGGCTGCTGCCAATAACCCAGTGGCATAGGTTTGAAGAGGTTCAGGAGCCTCCCTTGCCCAAGCAAATAAACGGTTGACAAGGGCATCATTGCTTGGCTGCAAAGCAAATATTAACAGATATAAAAATGATTGGGGTACAAGGTGAATTAATTATTTAAGAGCTGTTGTGGTCTTACAGTTTCAAACACAGCAGATGTCTCTAGTCCAGGGGTAATATCTAGCATCAATCGGCACGCAGCAACATTCAGATCCCTGACGTTTCTGCCTGATATTCCCAGGCGAGAGTAATAATTATCTCGAAGATAGTCATTCACTAACTGTTGTGAGTAATGTCAAAATTAACAAGATGAATTAAGAAAACAACAGATGTACACTTGCAAATAAATAAGTAAGAGTACCTTGTTCATGAAAGTATCTTTTCGAAAAATAACTTTTAGCATGTGACCAAGGGCACAGTCTGGATCTGCTCTAGATGGATGACGCTCATCAAAAGGATCTGGATCCATTTTCAAATAATTTTCAGTTTCTAGCTCAAAGAGCTCAGCCAACCTGGAATTTCATTAAAAACGTATATGGTTTCTGTGTCATCAGTATTTGTTTTGGGAGCTTTTTGACGACTTCATTTTGTGTAACACTTTAGGTACAGCAGATTGTACTTTATATTCGACAATGATTACCTGTTTAGAATCGGAATGGGATCATGGTGTGGATCACTGTTACCTTCTTCCCAGACTCGAAAAATAACAGAAATATCTGTTTCGTTTGGAATATTTTCCATTTTAGTAAATAAAAAGTATTCAAGAAAATCTGAAAAGAAAAAAAAAGCTATATTAGAAAATGTGCTGCATGACAGCCACCAACCTACAATTTAAAGCTTCTATTAAAAAGAAGAGACAGCATACAATGAAGAGTTAAGAATGTTCATGATAGAATTGTGTTCAAACCTATGAAAATTTATGAATGCCATTCATTGAATTGAAAGGAGAAAGTTTCCAGAGGTGTCATCCAGAACGGAATTGTGATGAAATTGTGCGTTGACGATAGGTTATGGTTGTATTTACAGTTCACACCAACCCGAATTCAAAGAACAATTGATTAAAACTGTTGCGGATAGTAAAACCAGTTCATAAACTGTGTAGCATGAACGGGAACAGAAAAAATAAGCAATCACGAGAGAAATATAGAGGAAAATTGGCAATCATAAACGGAGCAGCATGTTGACCATGAATAGTTCCGGCCCTGACAATCCATAAACGTTGATTTTAAAATTTTCAAAGGACACTTACGTTAATTAAAAGCAACAGCCAAACAAAGCACGATTGAGTACTTCTGTGTAGAGTTACGCAATACTCATGTCAAACATAAATATAGCGGTATCACGCATGTTCAAGTTGTTGCGAACCTTCCGGCCTTTAAGCAAAACAACCCTGACCGTTGTGGTCGAATCGAAAGGCACGCTAGACTTGACTATACGCAGAACTGTGTGTGACATTCAGGTTCAGGCCTAAGCACCTCAACACCGTAGCACCTCGCGAGACTACATCAAACCAGATGATGAAAAAACATACCGGTACACATAACTTGTTTTTTTCACGAGGAAAGAAATGCTTGGAAAGAGACGAGTAGGCCTACATTTGCACGGGCACGGGGGCACGGGGCACGTTATTTTGTAGTAATTTGAGGACTATTTTCAATGGCTTACGAGAATCACCACCAGGGCAAAGAAGAGGGCGCCGCGCCATGACAAATCTTGGTCAAGGGAACACCTAGGGAAGTCCCTTCATTCCTCGTCGGCCTCCTAACGAACTTCAGACGCGATGCGGGACATTAGTGAGAGAAGTTATATTTTTCGTATCAAATGTAAGCTCTTGGTTCCATCTCGGTCTTAACAACATAGGTTATCAAAAGTAAACAGGATCAAAGTTTGAGCGCGGCGCTGGGCGCTAACGGCATGGTGTATCGACACGATTCGGTAATTATTACAGCCGGGCGCGAGGCGGGTTCAACAAACGTTGGGGTAGGGCAAGAGACAGCACACTGCGTTAAGAGTTAAATAATTGAGTTAAGACCCCCCCCTACATCAAATAAACAGAGGCGACAATCTTGAAAAAAAAAAAAGGGTGCGGCGACCGGCGACGTAGTGCCCCCCCCCCCCCCCCCCCCCCCCTTTTTGCCAGAAAAGGTGAGAGTGAGTCAGTCTGACTGTCTGACCTCATTTCAAGCTCATTTTAACACGTTATTGGTTAATTGTGGGACACCTTACGCATTTTGTTTCTCCTCAGTAAAGTGGAATTTGGTTTTGTCAGATAATTTCTTTGGAACTTAAATAAACTTCATTTTGCCAGCCGTCAGAAATCCTTTATTTAGCTTCAAACAGAATGTAGTGATCCAGTATATGTTTAATGAAGATACAGTGTTTCAGTATATGAACAGAAAATTTAGTAGATTCTGAGCAACTTACAATATTTCATCACACAACGAATAGCAACTACAGTACTGCATTCACCGTGGTGATCACCAGCTGCTCTTCTCTACTTTTGATCAATTATATGAATCTATTGGCAGAATATACATGGAAGAGAATAACTATTGTTACACATAAACATGAGTGAATACATGATTGAATTGTAAGAAAACTATTCAGATACAATATCAAAGCTGTAAGAGGAAAGAAGTTGGAAGTATCAATGGAATACAACAATAATGCAACCATGCCTATTTAAGAAAACAGGGCTGGTGCTTACAGTAAACTGCTGTGACATGACTGTTGACAAGAAAATGCAAAGTTTGCATTTAGAAAGAGTGTGACATCCAAAACATCAGAATTTGATAAAATTATCTTGATTTATTTGGCCTTAATTGTGAGGGAATACAACAAATCATAAGATATGAAACAATTTCTTAAGGCCATCGCAAAAGTTCAATTTTGTACATTTTGTTTTTGGAGAAAAATCACAAAAATAATTAAATTTATATTTAATACACATATTAAATCTTTTAAATACAAAATTCCATATATTTTGACTAGACCCTAAATGCCTTACATGAAATTGTGTTTCTACTGATATCTATTTTCCTACTTAAATTAAAATGTTCTTGGTTTATGACCTCCATGTGTAAACATGAGACTTGGGACTGCCTCGTTGCAGCAATACTGTTTCTAGGTTTGAGAACAAGGTGATATTTACTCAATGATTCTAGAGGATAGGATCACCAGTAAAAAAGCAAACACTATATGTATGCGAGTCCATACACTTTACAGACTTAAATGAAAGAAATTCATACATTTTTCTAGACACATATCTTTTTCTGATTTCCACTTAATATTCTTAGTACTCTTGAAGACATCTTGATCTTAATGAATTGAGGACTCTAACTTGAATGTATGTATGCATGTATGCATGGGTATGTAAGTATGTATGTATGTAGCAACCAAAAGAGAACATTGTAATGGGCTGTTCAAAAGTCAACAGTGGTTTCTACAGAATGCGTATCATGAAACCATGGTGTATTTTTTTTATGTACATCAATAATTACATGGTATGCCTTTGGCTTATCATTCTTATATCAGTTCTTTTCAAATTAAAGAAAAACAATAGTAAATGAACTAATGAAACAGTACTCTAAATCAATATTTACAGATAAAATATGCAAGAAAGTAGAGATTTTGTCTTTTTTTTAGAGACGCAAGTCTAGACATTGACAAGGGACAAACAGGATTTTATCTCTAAATAATAGTTTTGGTATTGAAATTAAGTATAAAATTTCACAGCCTCTTAAAAAGAGAGGTCAGTGTGCAGTATTTCCATCCACTTCTTTTAAGACATTTTGAAGCTGACAAATGCATAACTTATCAACTTTAAACTATAACTAGAAGAAATTACAGTTCTGTGTTTACTGAATTACAAAAACACTTTTACTTATACTTCTGACAAAAAAAAACAACAACAACAAAAAAACCTTGAGGTTTGATTTATGCACTTGCCTTACTGGAGATACTACACACTGAACATAAATGCAACAAGCAACAGTTAATCATAAACCCTTAATCAAGAGCACTGCATAACAGTACTTGAAAGGCACAATGACATGCAACCACAATTTATAAGAAATCACAATCTTAAATTAGAATTCATCATTTTCCCGATTTCTGCCCAAACATTTGATATTTAGAAGACAAACCTTATATTTTCTTCCTCTTCTTATTTTACTATCTGAGTACCAAAGGTATAACAGTAACAGTTATCATAAGTTGGGTGAAGAACATAAGTGGCAACATATAATTCCTAACTAACACTTATGCTTAACAGGAATTCCAAACAATTAGCAGGCTGAAATATCAGAAACAAAAAACTTTCTACAGAGAAACTTATGGGCTGTCATGCATTGTGTAGAATCTACTTACAGCTTGGCACAATGTTAACGTAAAGATTTGTAAGCTATTGACTGTGAGTTGATGTATCGCAGTGTATCAGACAAGTAAAAGGCCTGTTAAAGGACAGTCACACTAACTTGTACAATACTACCAGAATGGGCCTGAAAACCTTCCAGGCCATGTTGTAGAATAGAGGTAATCATACAACAAAGAGAACGACAAACCAACTTGTATCCAGTTTCAGCCTTCAGTAACAATAATAATTATGATGATGATAATAAAAGTAAAAATAACAATAATAAAAATAATAACAACAACAGATGCTGTAACTGTTGCATGGACTTACATGCAACAAAAGGAGACAAAAACATAAAAATGCTCATGAATAATTAAAGAAGATTTTGAGTACGGATAAAAGGCGGAGTAAAAATGAGAGGAATGGCATTAAATTATTTAGTGGCAGGACTTCTTAATGGATGCATGACTTATTAAAAAATTCATTGTGAAAACGGTTTGAATCATCTTGAAACTTGTAAACAGATTAAACCATTATGAGAACACATGATGACAAATAACAACAATAAATGAATCGTGAAAAATATCAAATAATCAACAAACAACAACAAATGCCACAAAAAATTAAAGGAAACAGGTGGATAAGATAAACAGCAAACAATGCAAAAGGATTTAAATCCTACACACATTTTAACAGAATGGAAAGCAAAATTTTTGGTAAGTTTAAGTCTGAAAAGGGGAAATAATAATGGCTGAAATCAATATATGGAAGGACAGAATGTATTTAAATCTCTGAGATTGAAAACCAGACGTAAAACCAACCTTTGCACTAAACTTGATTTTATATGTCTAACGAGATTCATAAATGATCTAAACGGCTTGTTTGACCATGAGGATTAATTTTTCGGAAACTGATAGACAGCTTCAACCAGGCGATTGGTCAGAGTTAAACTCTTGGCCAGAGCCCTATCAGGAAACCCCTTTGCTTTTCAAAAAATAATTTTGTTTTGACTTCTATTATTTTTAGTGCGAGAAAAGTCACATCCACTTTACCTAAAGGAATTTGCAAGGGAAAAATATGTATCACAATATGATTGGCCATAGATTGACCTAGCTGTGGGAGTGAGGACGGCTTGACAATAGAGGCTCGCACTTGACGACCACGTTCTCAGCTGTTTCGTTGAGCAGTTCTAGGTTTGAACGGTTGGTCATCTCCATTATCTCGTCCGGAAATAACGGCCCCGCTTTGAGCAGGCCCATGTTGTTGTTGGTCATGATGTCGTTGTTGTTAGCAGAGTTGAGAAAATCCCGAGCAATGCGGAGGTCGTCCTCCTCTTGGTCCACACCGTCACCCCCAACATCACCCACGCCATCGTCCTCTCTGGCGTTTTTCCTCATCCTGTCATCCAGCTTTCTCCTGTCTCTATCCCTGTCCCCTGCATCACACACGCGGTCCACCCGCTCCGCCTCCTCAGCCCCCCGCCTATCCATCCGGTCCCTGTCCGGCTTGAGGCTGGCTCCACCAATGGTCCCACCCATGGACCCACCCACGGGGCTGGCAACTCGCAAGTCCTGGAGGTCCGCGGGCTGAGCTTGGGGCTGGCCTGGAGGTGAGCCCAAAGGGCCAATTGGTCTCGAAGAGAGGGCCGGGAGGGTCAGGGCCGACAGTCCTGCCCCTCGCCCACTTAGTACTTGTTCCAGGACGTCGTGCCCCTGGCCTTGGCCGAGCCCTTGCAGGCCCTGGAGCACGCCAAGTCCCGCCACAGGACTGTGGGAGCGCCGCAGACCCAGCGGACTCGAAAGGCCCATCGCACAGTTGAGAGTGGAGCTGGGTCCGATGCCGGGGCCTCCACCCTGGCCCTGCCCGCCCTGCCCGCTCCCGTTCGAACGCTGTATGTTCCCGCAATGTGTCACCAAGCTCAGCGCGCCCATGGCCTCCAAGCTGCTCAGGTGCTGTAGGGGATGCTGCTGTTGCTGTTGTTGCTGTTGCTGCTGTTGTTGTTGTTGTTGCTGCTGTTGAGAATGAAGGTGCTGCTGTTGTTGCATGTGGTGCTGCTGTTGCTGCTGTTGTAGATGAAGAGAATGTTGCTGTTGTTGAGAATGCTGTTGTTGCTGCGCTTGCTGTTGCGGTTGTTGTTGGGAATGTTGCGGTTGCTGTTGCTGCTGCTGCTGCTGTTGTTGTTGTTGTTGTTGCTGCTGCTGAGCGGCTGCAGCCACCATGTTGCACATCTGCTGCCGAAGGCCCTGCGCCATGGCGGCCATGGTGGCGGCGTTGGGGGTCACGTTCTGGTCGGGCCCATTGGCGCAGATGTTGGCGTTCATGTTGTAATTCTGCATCTGTCCCTGCAACATCCGGCTAGTTAGTGCAATCCCAGCGCTCCCTCGCCACGCCACAACGCTCCGCAGCAGTACACTCACCGACATCCGCGAGTACGATAAGTGCGAGTCGTCCTTGACGAGGTGCTGCGGGTCCCGGAAGACGACCGCCCTGATGACGCCGTAGATGTGGTCCTCCGGCCAGATGCCCAGCAGGATGCGCTGCGGCCGGCCGCGGCCCTTGGGCCTGAGGTCCGCTGCAAACAGCAAAAGCAAGTTGATCAGAGACGCGGTGCGTGCGAGGCCTAGGCCTCCCGCACGCAGCGCCGTGTGGCGTGCGGCCTACGCGCGCACGACAGGCGCCCCGCCGGCCCCGCCCCGCCGCAGAGCAGCAGCGCGCCTGCCCGCCCCACCCTCGTCACCGCACTAACAAGTGCTATGCCATCAAACACTAGCTGGGTTTGTATCCTCTTATTTCTACAAATTTCGGCATTTTTTGCACACATTTCTGCTTTGATTTCAATACTTTTGTGAGTTGTAAATGTTCCATATACTACTTTTGTTCATTCATTTGTACGAAATCGTGCACTTTTGCGCATTTGTACAGAACAAAACATATGTTTAACTTAGCACGAATGTTTGCACAAAAACATACAACTACATTTAGCGTGCAGTTATCAGGGGACCAGGCGTTCCGAATGGCATCTCGTATGTAGGCGACCTATGCCTCTTGAATGATTGGCGGGACAATCTAACAACTGACTCCGCGGTAGTTTCGCCGTGCGCTTAATGACTTCCATAGTTTTCACTTTAACTTTGGTCACTCACCTGCTCCGCCGTCCACCGACGGTCCCAGCATGTTGTGGACGCGGTTGGCGTACAGCACGAAGGTCGGGTAGGGGATGTCGTACTTGCGCGCCGCCTGGGAGAGGGACAGCCCCTCCCGGAGGACGCTGAAGATGGCTTCCGCCATGGTCTCCGGACGCCACGACTTGAGGGGACCCCGCTCACGGAACCGAAGGTTGTGCGACATGGTGGTGTTGGTGTTCCAGCACTTCTGCCACATGTGTTGAAGCTGGTACTGGTAGCTGTCTGCTGGAAAAAAGAAGACCCCACAGGGGAAAGTATAAGTAGAGATAGAGGAAAGGCAACCTAGACGATGCTCCACTGTAGTAGATGCACGTGAGTAATGAGTGAAACATGCCAACGTTGACACGTAACTGCCTTTACTATCCCAACACCTATTGTTTTGGAAAACATTTTCTCACCTGACCGACTAGAAAGCAATTTGTGCTCTTTCCATTTCCAAAATGAGCCTTAGCTTTTGGGGTGCGGTATAGCAGTCAATATCTCCTCAGAGGTATTGCGCCTAATTCATTGTGCCGTTTAGGGGTGACCCACCCCACAGTGAGCACGTCCTTGAGGAACACGCGCGAACCCTCATTTAAATCTGTTTTAGTTTGTCTATAGGCGTGCAGCTACATCTGGGTAGTACTGTGTTCTCGAATCTGCCCTGAGACAAAATTGGCCCGTTTTTCTTAACATTTCACACTCTGCGCGTTTACGTAAATGGACCGATACGGCGCTCTGCGTCAAAAATTGTGACGTGCCAAGATGGCCAAGATAAAAGGCTGCGCTGCTTGCAGAAGGTGTTCTATTTTCATTCAAAGGTAACGTGGCATTGTTGAAAGAAAAAGAGATTTTCTGTTCCATTTGCCTTCTAGTACACGCGGGGTTACGGGGTATCAGCGACACGCGAACACCCTCTAGGTCACTGGCGGAGCACCACTAGGACACATGACAGAATGCTCCGTGGTTTTCGGTCACTACAGACAAAATAAAAACAACTGAGGTTTCCGTATTGGTGGTGGTGGTTCCGTACTTCACCACGGAATTTTCAGTGCAATTGACAGAGGACATCTTAATCCTAAATGCCATGACCCAAACCAGGGATGGCTGGAGACGCGACGTGGGGGACTTAAAGCAAGCGCTCGCGCAAGTGATGCTATCACCTGATCTGGAAGACTTACTTTTGCCTCTACAAATATTGAGTGAGATATGCGGGATCGGGAAAGGAACAGTAAGATGATTGTGACTCACCAGTGTCATTTTAATACACAAAAACACCACAGTGTAATACGTGTCATGGTAATATCAACTGTTAGCACGTTAGTCAACCTTTTCGCCAACTAATATGCTGGACGCCTCATGACCAGAAATATTTATGCTCATGGCTTACAACTAAATCTCACATAGAGTAACAAAAAAGCACAACCAAGTCTTGTTCCCTTTTTATCTTTTAACAAATGAATCACGGTAAATAAATATAAAACATAAAAATAAAAACGACTACAATTGCTCAGGATATACAAAAAAATAAACATTTTTAACGTCTTGTAATTGCGTTGTAAATAAATTAGCCTTATTTCCTTAATTGTTATATTCACAATTTCCGTGCTCAAAATTTAAGACAAGAACTAAAACAAGTAATCATAACAAAAAGGATTGCCTTCTATTAAAAACAAAAGAATTTAGAACAGGACTGTCAAGTAATAAAAGAGAATATATCAACGACATCATATCAGAATCCTACTTTTCTTCTAGCTGCCAAAAAGTTTTCTTAGCTTTAGTGATAAGGTGGTCCATTGGTAAGTCCCTTGTGCCATTCAATTCTTAGATTATTAGTGAATTTAATCACGTCATACTTTAAAACAATTTTACCCCGTCGCCCATCTTAAGCAAAGAACTCAAAGTAAAACACGTCGGTATTAGAATCTAGCCATCTCATTTCCTATTCGTGCTCGTCGGGTTGGTGAGCCCCTTCCATACAATTATAGGACGTGAAAACTTAAGCTAGGAAGGGAAATGGTTGCGCGCGTACAATAGTACGACTTGAAAATATGGCTGCCCGTCGGGCTGGGTAGTGGGTAGCAATCATCACAAACTATTCAATGCTACACCAATGACTGGTTGAAGCCATACGAAGGAGTCTTTTCTTTTTTGTCATGAAATATTACACGCTTCAGTCTTGTGAGCGACCACTGTCGCGGACTTCATGCACTCTCACAAACACGCTATCACACATTTACACACTACTTTCACCTGCACACACTGACGAGATCATCGAACTGACGAAGTGGTTTTCATCGCACCAAGTGCTCTCTGTACCCGCAAGACTACTCGGAGATCGAGGTACAAGGACAGTGATGGGACTCAGTCGAGGCAGGTCGTCAATAAAGAGACTGGCCATGTCTGCCTTGCAAATAATGAAATAGGAGTTTGATCTTCAGCATTCATAATTCATTTACAAAGTAGAGCAGTTTTCAGAAAGCAAGAAAATAGCTGTACTCTTCACAAGCAAAGCACAGTCTGAAACAAAATGGCCCGCATTTTGAACGAGGTACCCGTAAATAGTCATGCTTAAGTAACGCCATGTGTTGCAGACTGGAACAACCGCAACCTCTGTCATCTATAGGACTGTCCTACGGTCACCCAAACAACTTTAAAACCTGGTTATGGCACAAATTCTGGCAGATTGATCTAAATGGCACGCGTTTGTAAAAGTGATCGCCAACCGCGGCTCAACCAGTGAGTCCGCAATTAAGGCCCACCTACATTACATTTCAATATAAGGCACGTCATTGTACTTTTTAAACGAAGTAACATTTTCAATAATGTAACGTAACGTTAATTTACACAACTAAATGAGCAAACATAATTAACAGACCCCACTAATGGATACACTATTACGCATTTATGGAGAAATAGGTAAAACACGTATAAAATACATTGACAGAGAGCTCTATTAACAAAAGAACCTTGTCTTACAAATAATAAATAAATCGAATATTATAACATCATTTAACAAAACGTAAATGCATCAAATTTGAAAATTTCCTCAAAAAGAACAACACTTACGCCTAAGGCGCGCGTCTTGACCAAAACAGTCAACAAAGAAATACACGAAAGAAAACAAACATGGCACACAAACTACTGACTCAAATCTGGAGGCGTCGTGCCTAAGGCCCGCGCTTCACACGTAAGATTTTAATAGATATTTTCCCATTTACAATAGCAAACTATCTAAAAGTAAAAACAATTATGAGACGATTATTTTAAAAAATGGTAAGTAGTTCTATTTTAACAAATAAACAAAATAAAAAAGCAGTCCCAAAAACTAACTAATTGTTATATCAGTCAAAAAGCCTATAACAATATAACTAGGACATAGTTGCATGCCGTAGGCAAGCCGACTCACATTCAAAGATCACACGCGCACACACGCAAATGATAGTTGCAGTAGGCTATTAAACATTTCCTGAGGACACAGATTTAAATATTTAAACGAAGATATAAGAGAGGCAAAAAAGTTTTAAACACAGCCAAAATGTATCCTTCCTCTAGATTGAAGTAATACTCTAAGCGGCAGTGGTTATTACGTCAGGTAACTCTGTACACTACCACTCCATGTCTGACATGGGACGAGGTGGAACGTTCACTAATGTGGATGGGTTTGCTCAAACCCTTACGAAAACAACAAACGATTTTCAATAACACAGTCAGTCACTACAGTCGAAATACAGCGAGACAATGCTGTGCTTTTTGCAGAAGGCCCACCACCAGCGGAAGCCCGACAGGCCCTGAAACTCAAAGTCAGGATCCCTTGTTCGCCGCAGCTTCTCCACGAAGTCGAGGATGGCGTTTAAACTCTTTTTGGTCCGCCTGTTGAACGGGGAGAGGGAGATCTCACAACAAAACTCAAGCACAGCAGTCTCCTCGTCAGTGGTGAGTCCCGCCTCCTCTAGGACCATCATGCGCTTCGACTTGCCCAGGATGTTGTCGTACAGAGTGCCCTTGGGAATACCGTACTTGGCCGAGGCCTGAGTGAAGCGCATCTTCTGCGTGACCACGGCCTGGATCGCCTCCTTCAGCTGCGCCTGCGTCCAAACGGGTGCCTTGAGCTTCACCAGATTGTGGGCCTCTAACAAACACAACAAACACACAGCTCTAGCTAGACAAAATATAGGAACGTGTAAACTTTTAAAGCAAACATAAGCAGAGAGCCAGGCGCCTGCGGTATGAACAAGGTCCTGGTCAACGGGTGGCGGGTGGGTCCCACAGCAAAGAGACATTTAAAAACAAATTCCTGTTCAATTTCTGAAATGGGAATACGCTCACGTATTACAGAAAAAAGTTCAAGCGCAGGCACCTCGCCGTCAAAATCACAGGGTACAAAACAAGCAAAACAGTGACCTAGAAAGCAGCATCTACGCGGAAAACATAGATGGGCTCCAGCCTGAGACAGGGGTCCCCCACTCCAGTTTGCGAGTTGGGCGCGAGTTGGGCGCGAGTTTTCGCGAGTTATAGGCAAGTTGGGCGGGGACAAGTGTACAACGTGTTGGTGCACTGCAAAATGCTCCCAAATATTATGTTTGTATCCTATACTGAAAATAAAAGATCTTCTTATTGCAAGAAATATGATTGTCTCGCACAGAAATTCTTTGCAAAGCTGCCAGATTCCTGGAAAACTCTGCGTTTCGAAGAAATAGTTTGCCAACTTACGTTGAAGTGGTCCATAATTACAATACTTCAAAACTACTCGCAAGCAGCAACGAAAATCGTTTGCAATGCGAACGTATTCATGGCAAGCATTTTGCAGTGTGATAGGGGGACCCCTCGATAAAACCAGCCCATCTCTGTGATAGCTAATGAGTCCACTCAGACAACTTTTTGAGCTATCCTTGCGAAACTTGACGTAATAGACATATACTCTAATAGAAAAATTAGCAATATAATTAATAATGACCAATGCTTTTCTTCAACTAGCATACTCGAGGGTTTGCAAAAAAAGAAGCTGAAAATTAGTTCCTACAGCTGGTATTTGGGCTAGCTTCTAGTTTGTACGAGCGAACTCATAAGCTACGACAGTGTGCAGTTATACGCAGTCCCATGCCATGCCATGCAATGCCACACAGAACACACACAGCAAATAACACAAAAATCACAATCCTGATTTCTACAGAAGGCACGCAGTGTAAAGGTTAGCGCATGTTACGCGGTTGCGACAATAATGTTGAAAAAAGTTGGCATTTCCC